GAGAGAGAAAAATTTTTGGGTGAAATTAAATGTGAAAATTTTTTGAGTGAAAGTGAAAGTTACGTAGGGGTGCGTTCACGTTATTTTGACTAGACATTTGGACGGTGATAAATGTCTTTTATCTTATATTAGACTGTTTTTTACAGTGATACGGATATTTTTAACTACCCAGTGAGAAATTGCCAATAGACTTTAATCGGTCCAATATCGGTCCAATATTGGTTGCCGTGCTGGGCGCCGATTGACTCCCAATATTGGACCAATATGGGCTGATGCTTGGGATGTAACGGCATCGCCAATCATCGGTTGTCAATATTGGTCCAATATTGGACGAATATTGGCAACCAAGAGAAAAAAATTTTTTTAAATAAATTTTTTTTAATTAAATAATAATAATAAAAAATTAATGTTTATAATTTTTGTTTAATATATTTATTTGTTTAATTATTTATTTTTAATAATTCATGTAAATAATAAATAATTTATTATTTATAAATTATAATTATTTAAAAATGCAGCAGCTATTAGAAAATAGCATTCTGCAAAAAAATTCTATCATTGAAAAATCAATGATAGGCGAGAGAAATCCGCGTCTTTAAATAGATTCGCAGATGATAGACAAGAGATATCCGCGTCATTAAACGGATTCGCAGATATACTCTGGTCTCGCGACGAATCTCTCGATACTTATATACACTGGAGTCGCCGTGTCAGTTGCGAGAACGGTTACAGCGTCCCTCTTGCGGCAGAGATAAGAATTGTCACGTAAACTGCGGGTATAATAAGGCCGTCGGTAAAGCGATTTAGCAGTTTACGTGACAATTCTTATCTCTGCCGCAAGAGGGACGCTGTAACCGTTCTCGCAACTGACACGGCGACTCCAGTGTATATAAGTATCGAGAGATTCGTCGCGAGACCAGAGTATATCTGCGAATCCGTTTAATGACGCGGATATCTCTTGTCTGAATCTATTTAAAGACGCGGATTTCTCTCGCCTATCATTGATTTTTCAATGATAGAATTTTTTTGCAGAATGCTATTTCCTAATAGCTGCTGCATTTTTAAATAATTATAATTTATAAATAATAAATTATTTATTATTTACATGAATTATTAAAAATAAGTAATTAAACAAATAAATATATTAAACAAAAATTATAAACATTAATTTTTTATTATTATTATTTAATTAAAAAAAATTTATTTAAAAAAATTTTTTTCTCTTGGTTGCCAATATTCGGCCAATATTGGACCAATATTGACAACCGATGATTGGCGATGCCGTTACATCCCAAGCATCAGCCCATATTGGTCCAATATTGGGAGCCTTTATTGGACCGATGATCGGTCTCTTGGCTCCCAATATTGGACCGATATTGGACCGGTGAGAAATTTCTCACTGGGTATCGGGGCGTTCCATGACTCCATGCACCGCCAAAATTTTGATTTTGCTTACACTGACAAACGTTTTATTTGATTCAAACATTTAAATTAAACTTAAAATATCTTTGATATACAGTCAAACATATTGTTTAATTCAAACATATTTTTTGGTTCCTTTAAAAAAATAATATATTTAATTCAAACATAAGTTGTGGTTGTTTTTAAATTACTTATAATCAACTTTTAAGTTTGAATCAAACATAAAATTTTTAAACATAATTTTTGTTTAAAACAAAATAGAAAATGTGTTTGAATTAAACATAATTATTCAAACAAATAATATTTTTGAATCAAAGCAGTAAATATTTTCTATATATTGGGATTAAGATTACGAACTAATTTCAATTAAACAAAAACACTTAAAATTATTTTTCTATTTAAATTAAGTATAATGTTTTCTCAGTGTATACTTCACCAGTAGCGCACGTAATATTACAGCAATATTGAGAAAATTGCCTTAACATTACCAATATTGACGTAACGTTGTAAATGTTACTGGAACATTACGTGCTACTGGGGTTTGCAATTTGATAGTGTTTAGAGTTAATATTTGATATTAATATTGGAAAACTTTTAATATTTTGCAAGATATTTGCAATCATATAATTTCGACACTTCTTCTTCGGGAATTTTTATCTCGTAAACTATTGATCGTAGAAAAAAATTTGTTATTCGAGATTATAGAGAAAACATTGAACTTTAATAATATTATTTTTAAAAATGATTTTTAACTTAATTTTTTAACAATTTGTTTAAACAAAAATTTTTTAATGTTAATTTTTTTATGAAGATGGTAATGGATTTTAAAATTTTTTTTCAATATAACCTTCAATATATACTGAACCGACTGTGTAAATTTAAAAATGGTGTATTTTTATTTTTTTTGAGAAATATTTTTTTGAAATTTTTACTACATTTTGTGTAATCTGTTCACGCTGTCGACGGTGACTTAGATTAGAAAAGCATAGGGAATGGCTACAATCATTTTTTTCATTTTTCAAATCATAAAAAGAGTCTAGAAAAGTATAAGAGAAAGCGAAAATCAATTTTTTGAAATTTTTCAGATTTTTCATAAATTTTTTTTTCATTTTTCAAACCATGGTTACCTATCTAGAAAAGTATGAGAGAAGGCTATAGGCGTAGGCTATAGCCTATACGCAACAAAAATGAACCTCGTAGGTGCGAACTATCCCAGGGGGAAAAGTCGGGCGAATGCCGAATCGTCCAACCGTCTAGCGTCCGCGCCGGTTGAATTGGAGAGTCAATGCCAGTACAGGCAGTTTGTACCGATTCGGATGAGAATTTCTGCTGGCGCGGTACAAAGTCGGATGCGACTTTCGGTACACTCTTTCTACTGTCGGCACTACAGGCGCGGTACAAGATTTGATCCAACTGCCGGATCAAAATTTATACCGCATCGCAACCGGCATTGTACTGGCATTCGTCCGTCTAACGACCCGAGCGGTACAGGATTTATACCAACTAACAACCGGCGTTGCACTGGCATTCGTCCGTCTAACGACCCGAGCGGTACAGGCATTCTACCGACTGAGAACTAAATAATTTATATTATTATTAATAAGATTTTAATTAATAATAATAAGCTAAGAATATGGTTATTGTTATCTATTCTTTCAAAACAATTTAATGCTTTTCATAGGATAATTATTTTTTTAATCAACACACTATTTATAATTTTCTAAAATAGATTTTTTACAAAGTGAAAATTTAGCTATATTTTTATTGTTTTCAATAAAAATTGATGAAATAAAATGGATAAGATAATAATTAAAGTAATAAAAATTTTAAATCCTTTACGTTGTAAAAACTTTTGTATAGGAGAATTTTTTGAAGTTTAAATACTAAAAAAGGAATTAATAATGCAAGAATATAAAATTTAATTGTAAAAATGAATGAATTTGAAAAATAGGTTATAATTATATTTTTTAATAATATTTATTATTTATTTATTAATTGATAATAATTAATAAATATTAAAGACTTAATTTTTTTGTTATATTCAAGTTTCTATAATAATTATAGAAATTCACCTGGAAAAATATAAGGAAATTCCGATAACAGATTATTTTAATGAAATATTTTCAATTACACTCAATTATTTAAACTTAAAAATAATTAATAATAATCTTAATGTTTAAAAAATCTTAATGTTTTAAAATTTACGGTTTATAAATAAATTTGATCAAAAAATATCTGGTAAATTATATTAATTTTTCCTTAATGAAAGTTAAACAAATTAAAAAAAATTATTTTGAATATAATTGCAAAAAAAATTTTTAATTATAAATAAAGTATACAACTAATTATTTATAAATATAAAACACTAGATTTATTTACATAATATTCATAAAATTCAATTTGTTTTTAAATTATTATTTTTTGTTGTATATAAGTTGCTAAAATTGTTTGCTCCCTAGCGGTACTGTATATGGGTTCTGGTATGCTCACATCCGCAAGCGAGCGAATAGCGTAGTGGTTAGCGTATTAGACTTCGGTGCGTAGATTAGGATAGGCTTGGGCTTCGTATCCCACTGCGAGCGTTTAGAATTTTAATGTGTGAAAAAAATGTAAAATGTGTAAAAAATGCTTCAAATGATCTATAAATAAATGTTAATTAACATGCGCCATGCATAGTTAATTAAATATTTATTTTATTTTATTTTTCAATAGAGAATATAATTTGGCCCGCATCGCTTGCTAGGCGGACGAATGCCAGTAGAACGCCAGTAGAAAGTCAGTCATCTTTCGGAACAAAATTTGGCCCGTCCTGGTTGCCAGACGGACGAATGCCGGTACAACGCCGGATGTTTGGCGGCATCAAATCTGTACCGAGCCAGGCGCGCAGCCACTACAACACATTGTCAGGTTCCAGTACAATGTTTGCACCGATCCGGTCGTCAGGCGGACCCATGCCAGTACAGTCTTACCGACGTTTGTACTGGCGCGGTACCCTGCCAGTGGGAAATTTCCCCCTGGGTATAGGATTCGATCATATCCCATACACTTCTAGCATCTTCATAAACAAAATTAACATTAAAAAATTATTGTTTAAACAAATTTTTAAAAATTAAGTTAAATCAGTTTTAAAAATAATATTATTAAAGTTCAATGTTTTCTCTATAATCTCGAATAATAAAATTTTTTTCTACGATCAATAGTTTACGAGATCAAAATTTCTGAAAAAAGTGTCGAAAAATTATATGATTGCAAATATCGCGGGATGAAAAATGGATATCCCATATGTTGTGAGGGTTAATAATTATTTCTAAATAAGTGATAATACTAATTTTATATTTCAAATATGTAAAAATTCATTATACCATTAAAAGTTTTTAATGTCAAAAGAACTAAACAAAATATTTTTAATAAAATATAAAAATATTAATAAAGTAAACTTCATGGTCAAAATATGTATTAGATTTTGTACTTTTAGAATTATCAAAAGATATATCTGCACACGTGTTTTTAAAATGCGACATATGAAAATCGTTTACAATTCTTTTTATGTATTTTTTAAAATATCTCTCAATATGCATAGCTTTATTTTACTAATAATATAAAAAAGTAATAAGAAAAAACATTTTTATTTAAAAATTTTTATGTTTCCTTTTTCGTAATATACTTTATTATTTTTATCTTTGTAAAAAATTTTAGTTTAATCTATGTATATACCGTTCGTGATATGATAGTAATGATAGTAACACTTTAAATAGAGCAATACAGGGAATTTTCTCTCTATTACAACCAGACTCATTGAAAGTTACACAACAGAAATTGGTAAGAGAAATTTATAATATTTATAATCACTATTTATTAATATTTATTATTTTATTAAATTCTAAGGAAAAATTTCATTTACTCGCTAATGCTCACATGCAAAACTTTGTAATTATTTATTTACATCTATTATAATTGAAATATTTTAATGTAAACTTATATTGTATAAAAATTGAAATAATTTTATGAGGATGATTTTTAGTCCTGCAATTTGAAACAGAATGTAGAAATGCTCTGGAAATTTTTTTTACTATTTAATAGTTATATATTAATTCTTTATGAAATAAATTGAATTGATCACTTGGCAATATTTAATAGTTTAAAAATAGAATTTATCGATCACTCCGTGTCAGGTTGATAAAAAGAATCAAAAAATTTAATCTTTTTACGTTTCAACGGGACAGCCGTCCTCTTCAGAAACAGTAATAAAATAATATCATAAAATTAATTAAATATATAAAATATAACATTTAACCAAAATAAGATTCAATTTATTCATTTTTGGATTAATTTTTTCCATTAAAAAATTTATCTAAATCAAAAGCAAATCATTTTAAAAACATTTTTGAAAAAATAATCCTTTGAGGAATTATTTTAATTCTTGGTAGATTATTTTAATCCTTGACAAATTAAAGCATTGCGGATTATTATTTTAATCCATTTTGGTATTAAAATAAAATATTACAATTTTCTGTGGCACTTAATTAAATCTTCACGTACATTTTTAAAAAGAATTTACATTAAAACAAGTATTACAATGCTAATTCTGACATTACAGAAATTGAAAACCAGAAATGGCCAGTTTGAAAGTATTATTTTTGCTTTTGGCAACCATTTTAATGTTCCTGGCTCCTGCTATTAATGCTAGATGTTCACCAAATGGAACTCCATGCCAACCCGATGGAAGAACACCTTGTTGTACAGGATTTTGTTACAAACAAGTAGGATGGAGAAGAGGAGTTTGTTCTATTCGATAAAAAAAGCAACCTTTATATTTTAATGTCACTCTGTTAAAATTTATAAAATATGTTTTGATTTTTAAATAAAATGCATTTAATATTCTTAAAAAATGTGATAATATATTTCTATCTTAATTTGAATAATATTTTAAACAATTATTTAGTTATTATTGATTTCTTCACAAAAATTGAAATTTTTGAAATTATTTTATAATTATCTGAAATTTAAATAATCCACCGGTTCTGAACATTTAAATGAACGATATTGTCTTATTTCTTCAAATGTAATTTTATTATAATAATTTTGTGGCACTATCAAAATAATTAATTACAAAGTTCAAAATGTAAAATTTAAGTTTTTAATTTTTATTGCAATAAATAATCTGTGAAAATATTTTTAAAGTGAAAAAAAGTTTAAAGAGAATTCAAGTTTTTTTGAGTTTTTCAAAAATACATATTTTTCGATAACAAACACTAAAATTAATTCTTGAAATTTGATATTTTACCAGTATTTTTGATAAAATTTCCTGACATTTCCCTGATTTCTCTGATTTTTCCCGGACTTCCCTGACTTATCGCAACCCTATATTGAATGAGTAATCAGTATAATCTTGGCATATTGCTCAAGTGTTATGCAAATCTCAATACAAGGAAAAATCATTATAATAAGAAATAGTTAATGAGATAAAAATGAATCAAACCATTTCACATGGCACACTTAAATCATATTTATGTAAATGTAATCAAATTAACAGCTTTTTATTTGCTTCTCAATATTTAAATAATAATCATTAATCTAAATTTGTTGTTATAATATGTAAAAACTAGTGTTTTAAACATAATTATTTAAGTATGTCTCAAATTAGTTCCGCTTGATGAAATTTTAACGAAACTTTTAAAATAACTTTTTGCATTGAAGAGAATGTTTGTATAATTAAATATAATAAAACAGGAAAAATTAATCCAGCTTTTAATTGCATTTATAAACAAAGATGCTTAATATTATACTAATAATGGTGTTTTACAATTAATAACAAGAGCGATAAAATCGCATATAAAAAGCCGATGGATTTTGAAAATATCATAGCATTCACAGTTCAACTTTCTCCACTTCATCTTCTACAGCAAACTGTAAGTACACCAATCCTTGTATATTATTGTACATACAATAAACTAAGTCTTTGCAGCTTAAATTAACACCAAAAAAAGATTAAATTTATCCATTTTGGATTATTTTTTTCCATGAAAAAAATGTGTCTATAAATCAAAACCAAATAATTTTTAAAACATATTTGAAAAAAATAATCCTTGGATGAATTATTTTTATTCTTGGTGGATTATTTTAATCCTTGATAGATTAAAGCATTGCAGATTATTTTAATCCATCACAGTAAAAAATAAATCTTAATTTAAGATCAGTCTTAAATTCAGCACTGTCTGCTATAATGTTAAAATAAAACATTACAATTTTCTGTTGCGCTTAATTAAAATTTCACCTACATTTTTAATAAGAATTTATATTAAAACAAGTATTATAATGCTAATACTGAAATTACAGAAACTGAAAACTAGAAATGGCCAGTTTCAAAGTATTATTTGTGCTTTTCGCAACCATTTTAATGTTCCTGGCTCCTGCTATTAATGCCTGTTCACCAAATGGAACTCCATGCCAACCCGATGGAAGAACACCTTGTTGTACAGGATTTTGTTACAAACAAGTAGGATGGAATAAAGGAGTTTGTGCTGTTCAATAAAAAACTACCTTTATATTTTAATGTCTTTCTTGTAAAATTTGTAATATGTTTTGATTTTTAAATAAAATACTTTTTACTTTCTTAAAAAATGATGTGATAATATATTTTCATCCGAATTTTGTTACAAACAATTATAAGATACCTCTCTAAGAATATTGCTCTGATCCTAAATAATAATCATACACATTTAAAATCATTTCGTTTTTGCGAAATTATCTGCTTAATATGTTTATTCAATATGCCAGAGGTAATACTAAAAAATTATCAAAAATGAATAGTAATTTTTAATGATAAGTATAAATGTGGAGATTAAATTTTAGATCAAGGTGCCATATTATCTTCGTTAGAAAATTCGCTGACTTTTTTCTGACCAAGCGAACGTTTTTCCCTGACTTTTTAAAACTGTCATATGGCGATGAGTTAATAAAATAAGGTTAAAAAAAGTTCAATAAATTCAATAAAGTATAATTTTTATGAAAAAAACCATTAGTGACGCCGTATAAGACTCAAGATTTTTGAGACGGGACGAGATAATCATCGGAAAGACCAAGACCAAAATGAACGTTTTTCTCATCTTGTCTATTCAAGACGAGACGAAAAAGTAGGTAACTGTCAATACTAAGACAAGATTAAAGACATGTAAATTATATCAATTTATTATTTTGTAAAGATTAATTTTATTGTCATAGGATAAATATCAGAACTTTTTCTTTAATTCTAAAAACTTCCCGCAAGGAAATGGAAAACTGTCAAATTCTAGCAAACTATATTGCTAATGACTTGAGTCAATGTAATCAAACTTTGGCCAACAACTAAAATACCATTGCTTATGTCCGTTTGCCATACTACAAAATAATATTTATCACTGTTAAAATATAGCAAACTATGGGCAGCAGACAAAAATACTTTTAAGTATACGAACATTTTTCAATTTTTAACTATGGAAAGAGTCTAGAAAACCATGGGAGAAACAAGAATATTTTTAAACTAAGTCCAAAATATGTCGAACCATGGACAAAAATAAAAAAATTAAAACCTTAAAATTTTTTATATTATACCCATATTTTGACCATATCAAAAAATCTAGAAAACTATGGCCAACTGGAAAACTAGTTTGCTAAAATTTGCCAGTTTTCCATTTCTACGCGGAATTAATACTTATTCCAGTATTGTTGATAAAATTCTCTGATTTTTCTCGGTTTTCATCAATTAATTATAGTTTTCCTAATTTTTTTTACTACCTGATTTTTGCTTTCTCAATGAAGCTTTGCGTATATGTGAAGATTTCTAATTTTTCAAAAGAAGTTTATGGACTTATTTTCATCTAGAATATATGTACACTACCGTCCAAAAGTATCAGGAAGATTACATTCGACTCTATGAAAAAATATGCCATCACTTTTTCAATCATATCTCGGAAATAAAAGGAGGTACAAAAAAAAATTAAGTTGTAGAGTGTGAAAGAAATGAAAAAAAATTATCAAATCTTCTCATTTTTGTCTCTTGATTTCAACTTTTTCAAAAATCTAGAAAAATTTAGATAAAGTTTTTCTAAAAACACATAAGTCTTCGTTAGAATTTCGGCTTTAAAATAAGCCTTCGAAAATTAAAAAAGGTTAATCCGTCTTTGATATATCATTAAAAATGTGAAGCCGTGTTTCGACCGATTGGTGCATTCAAATTCAACTGTGACGACTCGATTGTGGCTTCGCGCGGCAGCGAATGAAAGAGAAAACAGGAACCAATTTATGCATGGGAACGATGAACTTTTGAGTTTCTTTATATTACTCGTGAAACATCATTATTTATCATTCTCCAGCAAAAATTCGCCCCTGTTTTCTCTCATTCGCTGCCGCGCGAAGCCAGAATCGAGTCGTCACAGTTGAATTTCAATGCACCAATCGGTCGAAACACGGCTTTACATTTTTAATTATATATCAAAGACGAATTAAACTTTTTTAATTTTCGAAGACTTATTTTAAAGATGAAATTCTAACGAAGATTTCTGTGTTTTTAGAAAAATTTTATCTAAATTTTTCTAGATTTTTGAAAAAGTTGAAGTCAAGAGACAAAAATGAGAAATTTTGATAATTTTCTTCATTTTTTTCACACTCTACAACTTAAAAAATAATTAACGAAATGACTTCAAAGATGGCTTATTTTACGCAGAATTTAATCAGCTTTCTATTTTAGTTTTTTTGTACCTCTTTTTATTTTCGAAATATGATTGAAAAAGTGATGGCATGTTTTTTCATAGAGTCGAATGTAATCGTCCTGATACTTTTGGACGGTAGTGTATATGAAATTCTAAGCAAATGTCCAGATGTATTTATGTCAAAATATGTACACAGAGAAAAAAGAATTGTTAATGTAGAAAAAACAAATTTTTTTTGTTGCTGTTACAAAATTTTTTGATACCTCAACAGATTTATTGTTATTAGAAAAAATTTGAATTGTTAGGATAACAAAATAAATTTGTTAGTTCTATATTAACAATCTTTTTGTCAATGTAACATTCCTTTTTCTCCGTGTTATGTCACAAAATATTGTGTATAAATATTATCTCAGACACGTTTTGACGGATTGTCCTGAAAATTAAGGCTTATTACAGCCATTAATACGATTTAAAATCTAACACAAAGATTTCCGAATAGAGTATAGATGTACCTCTTTTGGCCACTGCTCCAGTTTTGGTTATAAAACATTAATATAAAAAAATATTTTTAAAAATTCGAAGAAATACCTTACTCTCCCCTTAAATATTTCTTTAAGTAAAGTACTTAATTAAACTTAAATATAAATAATTACAATAAATATTAAGTATATTGACCAAAACTGATGCTTCCACCCTATACTCACATTTTTTTAAACTTTTTCAAAATTGTGCGTTAGTCTTAAGAAAAAAAAATTGAGGTTCTTCAGAGTCGAATGATTTTAATTAACGATAGACAAATGAAACATATTGCTCAAGTGTTGTGCAAAAGCAAGTTTCAATATCAGAAAAAAGTCTATAATAAGAAATAGTTATTGAGATTAAAAATGAATCAAATCATTTTTCACGTGGGTTAAATTATATTTATGTAAAAGTAAATTATTTATTTATCAAATTAATAGCTTTTTATTCATTTCTTAACATTTAAATAATTTATCATTAATCTAAATTTGTTGTTAAAAATGCCAAAATTACTGTTTTGAATATAATTATATTTTAAGCGTGTATCAAATTAGTTCCGCATAGCCTGATGCAATTTTAAAGAAACTTTCGAAGTTTTTTTATATCTGATATAATGTTAATTTTATAATTCGACATTATACAAAAAATTTTTAATATAAATATTTTACTTTCTTAGGTTGGTGTACCTATACTAACAGACAAAAGTTAATGACATAAAGATATTGTTGCTAAATTATATTAATATATATTTTATTGAAAGAATTATAATTTTTGCATGCCATTTTAAAAATATTAATTAATATTAATATTTACGGTCAATTGGGTAAATCAATACTCATTCTTCACAAATAACGAAAGTTTTTTACTTTAAAAGGCAATACTTTTGGTTTTCTATTGCATTTAATTTTTTCCTTGAGTTCCTTAGATTAATTTTATGGAGCAGAAAAAAATTTAGATAAGCTTTAATCGCATTAAACTGACTGTCCTGATTTACCATCACTGTTCCTATATATTTAAAATATTTAATATAGTGATTACATTTTTTTTAATTAAAAAAAAAATTTTTCTAATGTCACTAACTTGCTGATTAGACTGTTGCGGTCCCTAAAGTTTATATATGTTAAAAAGTAGTTCCGCATGATGAAATTTTCATGAAACTTTTAAAATAGTTTTTACCTTGAAAAGAATGTTTGTATAATAATACAATGAAAGAGAATTGAGTAATAAAAATAATAATTTAATATTAATTTATAATTGATAACAAGAGCGATGAAATCGCATATAAAAAGTCAATGGATTTTAAAAATATCATAGTATTCACAGTTAAACCTTTTCCACTTGATCATCTACTGCAAACTGTAAGTACAACAGTCTTTGTATGTTATTGTACATACAATAAACTAAGACTTTGCACCTTAAATTAACACCAAAAAAAGAATAAATTTATCCATTTTTAAATTAGTTAATTATTTTAATCCTTGATAGATTCAAAGCATTGCAGATTATTTTAATCCACTTTGGTGTTAAGATAAAACAGCACAATTTTCTATGGCACTTAATTAAAACTTGGTGTACATTTTTAAAAAGAATTTATATTAAAACAAGTATTATAATGATTTACAGAAATTTTAAACCAAAAATGGCCAGTTTGAAAGTATTATTTTTGCTTTTGGCAACTATTTTAATGTTCCTGGCTCCTGCTATTAATGCTAGATGTTCAAAAAATGGAACTCCATGCCAACCCGATGGAAGAACTAATTGTTGTACAGGATTTTGTTACAAACAAGTAGGATGGAGAAGAGGAGTTTGTTCTATTCGATAAAAAAAGGAACCTTTATATTTTAATGTGACTCTGTCAAAATTTATAAAATACGTTTTGAATTTTAAATAAAATACTTTTTACTTTCTCTAAAAATGTGATAATTTATTACTATCTAAAAAATTGGTACTCGGGGGTTTTTGGGGTCGCTGATTACGAATATGATGTTAGTTTTTAAAAATCTAAAATTTCGGATCTAATGTGTCGGACAAAAAAAGAAAAATCATCCGGATTGGCTTGAAAATTGTTAATTTGGTCAATTTTGGAATTTACTTATACTCAATTAATAATATTGTCAAACTTGAAACATTACTTTCATAAAACTTAGTTTAATTACTTATTGAACTTTAAAGTGGGGACCTTTTCTCCTTCATTAAACTTTGTTTGAGGTTAACCTCAAACAAAGTTTAATGAAGGAGAAAAGGTCCCCACTTTAAAGTTCAATAAGTAATTAAACTAAGTTTTATGAAAGCGCTTAATAGACTGTCTAACGTCTTTCTAGACCCAGGGCAGACGGTCTTGTCGAGCGGCTGTTCAGAATTGAAACGAAACTTCCACGCTATAGTCTAGAATAGACCAGCGTTTCTGGTCTGATC